CAGGAATGCAGGACAGGCCCTGGCAAACCTAGGTGGGTGTTTTCTGGAACTAGTGCCGCAAGAGTCATCTCCCTTGGCAGAAGAGAATAAAAACAAATTTTCAGCAGAGGGTTTGCAGCTTAGTAAATAAAATACCTCCACAGGACAGACACCGAGTGTGCAGTCCAGGAATTGAGATGCCGCAGTCCAGGATTTATGTTCCGATGCCAAACTATTGCCTTTATTCCTTACCAAGAGATGTTGAGCCATAGATTTCAAAAGGCTTGGATTAAATCCTATATGAGGTTTAGAAACTTATTATAGGGTTGATTATAATTTTCACTTACGCATAGTAAACATGTTATCGCTCTTCCTGCTGGCTTATTTCAATAAAGTCTGATTGCTCATGATCCCTTGCGATATTACACAGAAGAAACTCTTGTTCACTGTGTTGCAATTGCGTCATTCTTTTTTTTGTCCTTCTTGTGCAGGATGATCTCTGCTATCCTTGGAAGATTCAGGATGAACAACTTACATGTAAGAGCCTATGTCTTCTGGCAAAATATAAAAATAGTGGGCCTGTCTTGGAGGATTAGTACTTTAGAAAGGTCTTATAGAAAACATCAGAGCAAATATTTTCAACTATATCAAATTTGGGGAAATTCCTGTCGGTGAAATGCACTCCCCTTCAATTAAAAAAAAAGATCAAACTTAGTGGAGAAGCGGTTTGAGAACTTGGGTGATGGTATTTCGTACTCTCATTACAACGCACTTGGATCCAAACTCCCTCACCGTGCGAGCAGGGGATTCCTGTTCCAGGCTGCGGGGGGAAATGGCCCCGTGTGACAGTTTGTACCCTCCGGAGTGAGCTACCCCCTCCGCGCACACTGCCGCACACGTCTGCTTTGCTTCTTTCTTTTTCTGTTTGAAACGGCCCCTGGCTTGATCAGAAGCAGAAAGCAGAGCTACAGACATCCTACTTTTCAAAGCTATTTAGAGAATAAACCGTAGATTTCAAAGGAAGCCTCCATAGCGGCTTTAAAACAAGGCCATTAAGGTTGAAATCCAGAAGATTTTGTAGAGTGACACAGCTTGCTGAAAGTGTACAAGTTTTATTGCTGTCTGAGATTTTACTTTGCAAAAAAAGAGGCTGTGGGAAGGATTCTTGCAGTCCTAACTATAAAGGATGGAAAGAAAGAAGTACACCTCCCCCTAAAGCCTTGAAAACAAACAATCAACATTCGGTGAAAAACTTCAGAACACAAGAATGCAAACCGAAAGCTGTTAATTGTGCCTTTTGCTTCTAGATGTGTGGTTGGGGGAAAGCCCAGGATAACTCTCCTCGAGCTGAGCAGGAGGTTGACTCCAGAAGTCCCCTCCAACCCAGGTTTTTCTAGCTTTCTGTTCTCAGGACTCCCTGAAATATCAGACCCATTCAAAAATCAAATTGCATAAAAAGAGAAACACCAAAATCACTTAAAATGCTGTAGGGAGGCAATGCCAGATCGCAGCTTTGCTTCTGTGGTGGGGTTTTTTGTTTTGTTTTTTTTACAGTGACCCTATGGTGGAAAAATTTACTTTCCAAGATGACTGAAGAAGACTTGAGGCAGAAGCCCCTTCCGTCAAAGCCCCCGTGTCTGAGAGCTCAGAAGTTTCCCTACGGAAAGCCGCGGCACGGCTATAAACTGCAAGCTGCCCAGCACCATTTGCTGCTCGCTGCCCTGTGCAGAAGCCAAGCATCGAACCCCCACAGGCTGCCCAAATGCCACCGCTGCATGGTTTGTAGAAGAGAGAATAAAATAATGCAGCTGTAAACCAGCTGTGTGCAGCCCTGAGGGTCGCTTGCAGAGGCAGAGCTGGGGAGGGGGGGTGGGGAGGAAGGACCCTCGTGACTGCAGCTTTGTTGAGTGCTAGGCAAAAAAAAAAAGGAGGCTTTTCAGATTATTTTTTTTTTCCCCAAAATCCTTATCCACTGGGTCATTTTGCAACACGTAAACCACACCTGACTTCAGTTGCATCCAAAGTCTCAAGTGCTATTTTTCCACCCCCTCTTTGGCAGAGCTATCCACAGCTTCAAAACCAAACCGTTTCAGCCCAAACGCAGCCCGGTCCCAAACAGCAGCTCGGGTTTGCGCGCTCAGATTGCACGCCGTGCTGCAGACTGTGCTTTGGCCCGAAAAAAAAGCAAGCTCAGGGTTGTTTGTTTTCTGGAGATGCCAAAGTGCTCTGGAGCCGGTGACTTGGCAGGAGGACGCTTCCTTCTCGGTTCCAGCGAGTCACTGTGTTTGTGCGTGACAAT